AAGAGTGTTCTTAAAGTCTTTACATTTCTCAACTGTAAATTACATTTTAGACCTTAGTAATTTTTCAATATTATAATTAGGTCCTCGTAGGTGGAAAATTGTGCAATAATGAATTGATAAACTTCTTCTAATGTGTGCAGTCATTGTAATTAAACCCGACATCATGTAAATTCGAGATTCATATCTTGCTATTGACTCATTTACTTAACAGGTTGACATTGTCAAGCCCGGATCAAATACGGCAAGATTTGTTTTTAAAAAAAATAATGTTGTTTTAATTAAAAAAAATTGACTTATGAACCGAATTACCCTAACATAATATATTATAGGGTTTAGCAATGCAATTGGAAAATATTTTAAAATATTTTTAGTTTTTTTAAAAACAATTCTGTCACACTTTCAAATATAAAAAGTGATTGTAAATATGATAGTAATTGTTTTTTAAATTTTTTTTATTAGAAATACATCAAAATAATATTTAAAATTTTTAAAAAATTATTTTTGACACCAATATATTAAAATAATATAAAAATATCATAAAATATTAATTTAAAATAAATAAATTATTTTTTAAAAGTACTTGGAAAATTTAATCAAACTTCATTATTTATATAATCAATAAAACTCTTCTCTTTATTTCCCTCTCAATTGAACCCTTTTTTTGTTATTTTCGTTGTTTTTTTTTAATTTTTTAATTTTATTGAGAAACTTTTTAATAATTACTTGCTTTTAATATGACAAAGTCAACTAAATCATCTAGAAGCAATTTTCATGCAATTTAATTTTAAATTCGAGTAAGATAAAGAGTTAAGTAAATAGGTTTTTCTGGCCAATTTATTTATTTTTGTAATTATATTCTTGTATTTTTTTTATTGGTCAATTGAGTTATTTTTAGATTTACTAAATTAACTTCCCATCAGGCAATTCCTATAAGTTTAATTTTAAGTTTGAATTATATAAAAGTTAGGTCAGAAAAGTTTTTTTTAAAATTTCAACTGAAAATATCTTTTTTTATCAATCAAATTATCTTTGAATTGTCCAAATTAATGAGGGTATGGCAAATCAATTCTCATATCATTTATCTTTAAATTAGAACTAAATAAAAATAAAATTAATAAATTTCAAAATTAATATTTAATAACATCATCAAATATTTTTTTTGCCACCAAGATATTTTTTTTGTTAAGACAAAACAAAAGAAATTCATCCGGGAGCGCAGCCCTGCGCTCTAAATTTGTAAACTTCACAGAAGCAGACAAGTATATATGAAACAATCAAGAAGCGCTGTCTTCGATAAAATTCCTCTCCTGAAACACCCTCCCATTACCATGTTTTGTCACGCTCCCTTTATTATGTTGGAATTTGAAGGGACGGAGTGGTGGGGGAGTGGCGGTGGCGTTGTGAAACTTTTCGCGGGGATTAATAGTTTTGGGGTTTGAGTCATAAAGTGGAAAGGTGATGTGTCCAGTTTTCATTGGTGAATGAATGGAGTTTATGGTAGACCTTGTCGCACCAGACCAAGTCCTTGATTGTTTTCCAGCAGGTCAGGGAAAGGTAAAGCGCGATGTCTTTTCTCGTTTTTTACTTAATTATTTTTGTGTTTTAATAATATTTAAAAATATTATATTTTTTATTTTTTAAAATTAATATTTTTTTGATATTTTTATATTATTTTAAAGTACTAATATAAAAAATAATTTTAAAAATAAAAAATATTTTAAAAAATAACTATTATTACAATTTTAAATATTCTAAATATATATCACGTCCAAGACTTGATTTTTTTTTTTTGGGAACGTGAAGCAACATGAACAAAGCAAAGTGAGAAGAGCGGAAGTCTGGCCACTCGATAGGGGAAGAAGAAGGTCGAGACTGTGATGCTGATTGATCTTCATACTGACCTGATGCAGGAGTGGCCATGACCATACCCAATCAACTGGTGATATTTTGCTGATTTGGCTCTATGTTACTTATTTTTTAATATTATCGAGTTTTCAATTGATTGAAATTGTGTAAACCACGGGTGTAATTAGATTATCGTGGTAAAATATATTTTTTAAAAGTTTTTTTATTAATTTTTTTAATATCAATAAATTAAAACCATAAAAAACACTTAAAAAACATTAACCTAATATTATTTTTAAAAAATATTTTTTAAAAAAAAAATCCAAAAATAAAAGAGTACCACTATCACTATAATTGATGTATTTCTTTTTTTTAATAATTTAAAATATTTGGATCAATTTATATATACCATGGTTAATTTTTAAATTTATTAAATATACTGTAAATCTAATAAATAAATAATATATCATCATGACATATATATATATATATAGATAAAATCTTCGTCCATTTTTGTTTAAGGGGTATGAAGTTTTCGAACAACTTGAAATTTATGTGAATTTTTTTTTCCTTTATATTTTTTTTTACGTTAAATTTGACCAGACAATTTTCTAACAAACTAATGTCAGGACTTCGATTTGATATAAGAATCGGCGTCCGCATTTTATGTGTTTGTTAAAATGCCTAGCGAGTTGGATATTAGTCTTGGAGGGACAACAAATTTTTATTGGTGGGTCTAATTTTGTAAAAAAATAATAATTATTTTCCTTGAAAAACAATTGAAAAGACAAGTAAATTATTCCATATTTTATAGCTGAAATCATTGCATTTATATGAACATCATTTTATATATCTAAAAAAAATCTCATCGCGTCTAACATTCAGGTCACAAGTTTTAACCAGATTATTTATATCAATTTAATTTTTTATAAATTAAAATAATATTATTTAAAAAAAATAATCAACATGTTAAAATAAGATTTTTGTCTGAATTTTATTAGGTCAACCAAGTTTTTAATTATTTTTATTTTGTTATAAACTCAACCTGATTTTAGTTTCAGATTGATTTATCAGGCAGATCGAGTTTGATCGAGTTTTAAAACTATAGTATTTATATTAATAACAAATCATTATAATTAAATTATATATAATAGTTCCACCTCCTAATTTACATAATCGCACTAAGTGTTGCCCTACATTATGGCTTGAATAAAAAAATTTGAAGATAATAAAAAATAAATTTAGATTTTGATATAATTTTTTATTATTATCTAGTTTTACACTGTAAAATATAATTATAAATAAAATCATTATACCAAACTGAAACTTTATTAGAAAAATATTTTAAAAATATTTTTTTATATTATAATAAACTTTTAATTTAATCTGAGTTGGTGAGATTTTGTGATATAAATTATGATAGACCGTAAAAATTTTGTTATTTAGTCTTTTACTTGTAAATTTTCTATATGACAATGCTTTTTTTTTACAAGAATATGACAGCTTGTTATAAAAATCCCTTGGTTCTACGAGTTAAGCGCCGTAATGATTTATTAATGATTCAACAAAAAATTTTACAATGATTTTTTATTAGCTGTATAAGATAAAAAAAAAACCCTGATGGTATACAGGTTAATTAGCTTATTTTAAAGAGTTTTTTAATCCCATAAAAAAGGTTAAATAAATTCAGATAGGAGTTTTTATGTTTTGAAGTGATAGTTTTATAATTAATTATCCTAAATCCACAGTAATTAAAAGGGAAAAAATACATAAAATAATGTTAGTTTTTTTTTTTTTTTAACCCGGACAATGAAGTTTTATAATAAAAATAATAGCTTTTCTAGGCCTCCTCTTTGTGACCCGGTCTTTGTTGCCAGGCTTTTTCCTTCCTTTGCACTTTTAGCCATTGGAAGTTCCCTTCATTTCAGAACTTACTTCTCGAATGGTTTTTTTTTTTTTGTTTGCTTAAAAAACACCATTACTTATAATTATTTAATTTTTCTCACCTGTGAATTTTTTTGAGATTGCAAGATATTTTTCATGCATTATGTTTTAAATATTAATTAAAATTAAATAAAATTAAAGTCATGAATTATCAAATATAGCCCAGAATGTCATACAAGTTAATCAATATTAACTCTAAAAAGTTTTCTAAAAATAAATTTAAGGTTTTAATATTTTAATATTTTTTTTTGAAATAATACATATGGATGCGAGATATAAAAAATAAATGTAAGGCATAAAATATAATATAATTATTTTATATTAAAAAATTAAAAAATAATTCACTTGAATATAAATTATAAAAACAATACAAGTCATGGAGTGGAGTATAATTACCTATATTAAAAAATAAAAAAAAATAATTTATTTAGGTTATAAAAAAATATGAGACATGAAATGTAATATAATTATTTCATATCAAATAATTAAAAACAATCTATGTAGATGCATGTTATATAAAGTTATTTCGCATGGAAAAATTAAGAAACAATTTATATAGATCCAAGTTATAAAAAAATATAGCTAAATATTTATAAATTAATTTTATATTTTTAAAATTTATTAAAAAAGTAAAAATATTAAAAAAATTGGACATCACTCAATTAACTTAGTCTCCCTGTTACGAGTAAATTACATCTTTGAATTTTTTTGATTTAAAACCTTGCCAAGACTCTAGGTTTTCAAGTCCTCAACCTGTGAGGTCGAGCTCGATTTTTTAATTATGTAAAAAAATAAAAAAAATATAGTTATTCTTATCTGTAAATCATGTTTTTTATAAGAAAATGTTCAGGAAGTGTTCCTTTTCCTTTTCAAGCACTGTGCTAATCAACAAGAATAAAACTTTTCGATTGTGATTCCTTAATTTTTCTAATGAAAAATTTAAAAAATTATAGGCTAAAAAGCCAAAAACAAATTATAACTGCAAAACATATAAATATTAATCACCTGTTTTGCATTATGATAGCTTATAACTTATTTTTCTAAATTATTTTTCATATAAAAATATATTAAATTAATATTTTTAAATAATTTTGATATCATAATATAAAAAAATATATTCAATTAAAAAACACTACCAAAAACACAATCTCTATATAACCATCGATCACAGGCCAGGGCAAAGAGAACAGAGAAGAACATGCAGGCACACCACTGTTCTGCATCTCCCCTCCCATCCTTCCGTTGAATACAATGACCGACATAAATCATAAAACTAAAGAATTATTATTATCGCACTGCCGGGCTGCATATACTGTGTTGCAGTGATTTTTTTGGCACATGAAGAACTTTTCTAAGAATCGTGGAGGATTTGTCAAAAATGTTCTTCTCAAAACCAATTTATTTATGCTGTAAATATCGCTGGGTTTGAAAACTCAAGAGAAGAAGTTGAGAATCGAATTCATGACAAGAATGTAACGTTCACCATCGTTTAGAAGTCTTCTTCTAAAAATAATTTCCTCTGATTCTGATACAAAGCTAGACGCCAATGGAATCTTATGAAGTTGAAGTGGGATTGGTGACAGTAAGCTTGTTAAATTGAAACGAGCAGAAAAGGGACTCTGCAGCCTTGCTTTAAACTACAAATAGAACAGCCATGGAAGCAAATTTAAGAAAAAACAGAATGCGTGATGGCATTTGTTCTGCTTTCCTGAATTATTTGATCAACTATTGTCTTCAGCTTTTCCATTTTCTATGCAACTAATTATTGTAAAGAAGGATTACTCCAGGTGGGCAGTTCAAGTTTTTTTATACTAGAGGAACCAGGCCCCATGAATGCAATCGCAGAATTTAACATATAAAATGAATCCACAAGTTCAGTTATGTATGTCAAAACAGTGAGATGAGAATGGTTTGCTAGCATATGTTACATGTAAACATAGTGCTGTGCTGCTACCAGCACAGGGAAGGAAACTTGAAGGAGTATGAAGAGGGCAAGTGCCCGGTCCTCCTTATATAATCTGCCGTTTCAGAAGTCTTTACGGCTTTCTCATTCAGTGTGGCCTCCGCATTTGAACGCTTCTCTTCAGCTATTCTCGTAGTCGAGGTCAGTTTGTTTGCCAACCGTTCTTGTGCTCGAGCTTTCAGCCTCTCAGCCTTCACCTATATATAAAGATTATGCACCAGTAAGCAGACAAGCCAAATCATAGAGATAGAGACCAAGGTGAAACATGAGCTGTACTCTTCACAGCAAACTAATGTAGCCAGGGGGCATCGTTGTTCCCAGAAATTAAACAAGACCCCTGAACAACAATATCAAGGCGTGAATTCGCAGCCCACATACCAAATTGCCGTTTCTTTTGTGTTTCAGTCTCCATTTGTATATTTTCAAGCCTGTAAAAGGGCCTTGCCTGGATTTCACTGACATAGGGGCAATGTAGACATTCATCATTTCATGGCAATAGGAACCCAGGCCATGAGAATTGAGATATATGCTGATGTAGGGTTCTCGTTACGAAGAAAAGCAAAACTATAAAAGCTACTGATACGGTTGGACTCGGGTTGATTAGGACGAGTAATCAACCACACCCTAATTTCATGCAGTTGGACTCGGGTCAATTAGGACGAGTAATCAACTACGCCCTCATTTCTTGCAGTTTGGGTATGGAGGAAGTCTTTTGTTTAAAATTAGCCACTTGTTGGTCTTCATTTCTTCAAGCAAGATGGCGATAGGGGCAACACAACTTTTTGGGACCCTACTTTTGTTAAAATTGTAAGTACAAACAGAAACATTTCAGAAAGCAACGGATCAAAAATAAAGTAATTCTGTCTTGAATGGACCAGTAACCATACCTCCATTTTCCTCATTTCCATTTCTGCTTTCCTCTTCTCATGATTTTCCCAGGCTTGGATCTTCACCTCTTCACGCTTATACCTACATATTACATGACGAATGACCAATCTTAAGTACATGAAACTCAGATATAAAGATATTGAATTAATCGAGATTAAAAGAAGGAGCAGAGGTAAAAGTCACTGTGGATCACCTCGCCATGTATTTTGCTCGCTCTGCATCATCCCAAGCCATTGCTCTTGTTTCTAGAGTACTCACCTTTCTTGCTTGATCCGAGTCCATATTCTCGGGTATCCTAGAACCATTGGATTCGTGTCCGTAGTAATGCCTCGTTGCACTGACCCCTCTGGGAGCACAACTGGCCTCACCTCTACTTTCAGTCATTGCTAAACCTGTTTGATAGCCTTCATTGCCCGGCAACCCGTTCAGGCCCCTCACTGGGGTGCCAGATCCTGAAGATACAGGGCTCCTCGCCGCTGGTGTAGTAGCTCTAATAGGTGTTGTTGTTCTTGAAGGCTCTTGGCTAGCAATGGGGGTCATCTCAGTCCCCATGTCCCTAACACAGATTGATCTAACAGCACTCATTGTTGAGTTCTGTGCAGGCTTATTAACTCTCCACACTGACTCATCACAATCTACCTTCTTTGTTTCTACTTCATACTGATTTGTGATAGAAATAGAACACCCATTTGCTGCTTCTCCTCCAACTTCATCTTCTCCACTTGAATAGTCATGCTCCACTTGAGGAACTGGAGCTATAAGTCTCCTATCGTCGGCATTTGAGTTGCGTGGCTGGCTTTCTTTTTTATCTCCTCCCCCTCCTCTTGACAATCCCACTAACCACTTTTGTGCATCATCCCATTTTGACGGTGTTGGTTTGCCTAAAGCTGTTCGGTGATGACCACCGCGACTAGCTCCATTTCCTTTATGAAACTCAAAGCTAGTTGCTTTACTACTTGGAATCTCCTGAGTTGGTCCATGACTGTAACACCCTTTATCCTCCATAGATCTCATTCTCTCAACAAATCTTCTCACTCTCACGGTCACTCACAAGGACAAGCAAAAAATATGACGCGTGACCACTAAAAAGCACTGAAGTCCCACTTAACTTGCCATGCGAGTCAAGAAGTCTAATTCATATCTTTGAACAGTAGATCCTTAGTCAGCAAAATGGTCCAGATCCTCTCTGGAGATGTAAACCGTTGGCCGCATTAGATCTCTTACCCTGTACAGCAAGTCAGTACTGACTTGGGACAAATATATTGAAACATTAGCTAATAGCAAAAGAAGTATTATTTGTTTGACATTTGCTAATCCAAGGATTGATAAATAGATTTTTCAGTGATTAAAACACAAAAGACATTGAATCTAACCATTCACCCTGTGCTGTATGGTCTACTTTTACAAGTGATTAAAACATAGATGCCAAAATGGCCATATCAAAAAAATAAAAGCTCAGACAGAACCCCTCAGGGTGCAAAATATCCCCACCTTCCTTTCCTTCATTACACAGCTAGGGACCATTTAAAGATATCCAAATGGATAACTACTTCCCCATCTAAAACTCTATCTGAAATCAGCAAAACATGAGAGAGAGAGGGAGAAGGAGATAATGGAAAAGCTAATAAGAATGGTAGCTTAATTATAAAACCCAAGAAGCGGAAAGCATATAGTAGTGGTGCACTTTATGTTTAGTGTGTCTAGCTAACATCAGAAACTATCAAGGCTTGTTAATTGTCTGGAGCCACCAAAAAGATGGAGCGGAGAATTCATCTTGGTTATACAAAAACAACAGAAAAACCAGAGATGGACTGGATTTTGCAGGGAAAGAAGAGCTCATCTGCAGGGAATAATACCTTGAAAGTTGAAACCATGAATTTTTGAGACTAGCAGAGTCATTCATGAAAAGTTCAGATCCATTGCACACCAAAAAAACAATATAAAAATTAACCTGCACGATTGAAACTCGAAATGTATGGCTGTAATAGTGAGAAAAGGTTAACTACAAAGAGGTTTCCAGTCGTTTAATTACATCTCAAACCAGTCCTCTAACTACAAAAACTAGCATGTTACATCTCAACATGGATACATCGAAGGATTCCTCCATGTATAAAATGAAAACAATGCATCTTGCATTTAAGCAATGTACACAACTGTTGTTCTACAGAGACAACTCCAGACTCCCTATTATTCACATGAACAAGTTAGCTTTCGTTGTTGCAAATACCTATGAAAGGACTAACATGGATAACCGCTGAGAGCTTGGTGATGTTCTTTCTAGTTTTTTGTAACTAGGGGACTGGTAGTGGTGATCCAAAAGTAAAGATCGTAAATTTACACTGTATCGCGTAATAATTAATGCATTGATTCTTGTGTAAACTGTCTTATTGGTGAGTGCTTCTTTTAAAATACGGTTGTCCTCCTAACGGTAACTGGGATGGGAGTGGGAGGGTGCTGGGGACACGTGGACAGCAGAGATTTGACTAAAGTGCCAGCTGATGAGGAGGATGGTGTCGGGCTGAGATTAAGAATGTGGGTTTTCTGACTAGTTCACGTGACTGTGATGGGCTGGGTCTGTGGGGCTACAGTTTCTGGGTTAATGAGATGATTTGACTGTTCTTTTTTATTAATTGTAATTGTGTACGGTTTGACCAGAGCTGCGGAACTGCATGGCTGGTGTTTTTTAGAGGGTGATTGAGAGGAATGCAGCTTTGTCATTTTTAAAGTCTTTTTTCTTTAAGAATAATATTTTAAAAAAATTATTTTTAATTTTAGTTAATTAAAATTATTAAAATACATTTATATATATTTTTTAATTTTTTTTAAATTTTTTTAGAAAGACTTTTTCAAAGCATCCTCTTTCCAAATAAAAGCATCATGGAAAGTTGAGAAAGTTGGATGATATTGGTTTAAGTGTATGTTTATAATAATAAAGTATAATATTACTGTAAAAATATTTTTTACTTAAAAATATATTAAAATAATTTTTTATTTTTATATTAATATATTAAAATTATTAAAAAATACTAAAATATCATAAATTTAATGATTTTTAAAACACATTAAAAAACAGAAGCTAGCTATTATACTTTCAATCACTCATTAATTGAATTTATTCAACCCAGCTTAATTTTTTTAGTCATCTAATTGATTTAACTACGTTAATATATAAAAAAAATTATTATTATTTTAAATGAAAATAGATTCGGTTTTCAAATTAGAGTTAACAGATTCTCAATGCAATTTTCATACAATTAAAAATATTTTTATAATTTAATTAAAGACAAATTATTCATACAAAGTTTACTTGTATAATTGAGAGAGAACCCTCAATCATGCATGTAACATATCCATCGTATTCTACAAAAGTATTTTTTATGTCTTTTCCTTTTCTTTTCCTGATTTATTGCAAGAGAAAGATTCGAATTTAAGATTTATTGTATGAATTGAAGGACTGCAAGGGGAGGACATTGGTTCCAGTCATGTCGTGTCCTTGTCATCATGGTGTTAGAAGCTCCAATTTTCGGTATGGTGTGAGGAGGGACCAGGTCTCTGTGATTTATTACTTCAAGGGACCACAAGGGACGTCCTTGGGCCTGCAAAAAGGGTGGTCTTGTCAGACCCATTACAGGAGTTCCAGTTTCATGGGTGTCATACTAAATGGGCTTCGCAAGAGTGAGCCCAAACAATTATAAAAGCGATTGTTTATTTATTTATTTTTTAAAATAAAAAATATTATAATAAAGGTTATTTTTAAAGTAATTTTTAATTAAAAATATATTAAAGTAATTTTTTTAAAAAATTTTGTATTAATATATTATAATGATTTGAAAACACTAAAAAAAAATTTAAATTTTTTTTATGTTACCTGGTTATTTTTTGAAGTGCGTTTCATTTGAAAATATATTAAAATAATTATTTATTTATTTTTAAAATTTTCTCATTAATGTGTTATAATGATTTTATTTTTTTAAAAAATAATTTTTAAAAAAAGTGATATTGAATCAGAAAAACAAACCCTATGTGAATTTTTATCTTTTCTTTTTTTATTGTTAAGTTTAGAGACAACGTTTGAAAAAAATCTTATGATATACAAATACAAATCCTATATGGTATGTATTAATTTTTTTTATCTTTTTTGCAATTTAATCTGTTTTTTATTTAAAAAATATTAAATTAATTTTAAAGATGGATAGTTTGAAGGAATTCCAATGTATTCATATTCAAAACCTAGATACCTTTGATATCATCAAGTAATTGAAGCCTTTTGAGACAATTATTTTTCTATAAATACACCAATTATTTTTTTCTGCTGTTTGGAATGCCACAAGTCATAAGACCAGAATGATGAAGATGATCAATATGCTTTTCATGGCTTTCCTGATTTCTTATAAGGTTTAGAGATATTAACTGTTGTTGTTTGTAACCAGATTTTGAAAAAGTTGCCAGCCCAGTGTCTGTCGCGCACTTACCTCAGTATAAATTAATTAGACTACTGTTAAAGAAGCTAGAAGATCTCAACTTCCATGTCTGTAAACCTGAAGGCCTTGATGACAAGCCCTTCAGGGGTGGGGAATTATTAATGGGGCATGAGTGTGTTAAGATCAATGACACTGGTCGATCTGTAACTGTAACTGCTTCTCATCTCAAGGAAGGGAAGTACACAGAGAGGAATATTAGCTGCAATATCCTTGTTGGAACAGATCATGGTGCAGGAAGTACTGCACGGAAGGAAGCTTGCTGGAATAGATCGAACTGAGAGGTGAAAAAGACCTGCATAAGTTCGTCAGTGTTCATTTTTTAAGCAGAGACCTTGGACAATACTTGCTCAATGAGAGACCTGTAATGTTGTTCTTTATCTTCAATACCGAAGCTATTGCCTATTGGGGTCCTTGTTGCTCATGATCTCTAGCACCCCAGCAGAGCCTTGAAGATTTCAGCCAGGAGGTGACTTTCAATTCATTTAAGATGGACTTCTGGACGACATTTTTCAATGACCTCAACGTTTTTCTTATTGTACTCGAGCATAAAGAAAAAGGTAGTATAGCTAGTTTGATAAGAAGAGCTTGTTAACAATGATGGTGCTGTAGAACTATAATGATGCTAGGAGATTAGTTCCTGTGATGGTAATATTTAGGGTGTAATTTCGGGGTTATTTCTGACACGGCTACAAAGATACATTAATTAATCAAATAATTAATAAACATTAAAAAGGAGTTTGATGTTATTTGTTTAGAGATTCAATATTATCTAAAAAACAATCTAGGTTGAGGAAGGTAAATCTAATTTAGTTTAATTTTAAAATTCTAGATTTAAAAAAAAAAGTTTAAATTGGCAAATGACATATTTTCTATCCTAATTAACCTTAATGAAGAAAAAAAAAACAAGGGTATGAGTTTGAAAGCCCACATACTCGGGCTCTTCATTACAAAGACAAAGGTGTGTTGGGTCATAAACCCACGTTTAAATATAAAATAAAAAAATATTAAATTTGATTAAATCTATAATCTGAATTACAAATTTAACAAGTTAAGCCCCAACATCTAAGCTGTAATTTGTTTTTGTTTAATTAAATTTTTGTCTCTCAATTTACAAAAAAAAAAAATACAATTTTACCATTTGTTATTAATAATTTAATTTTTTTTATTTAACTTAAAACTAAAAAACACTTGATTTACTGAATTAGAAGCATGCATAAGCTTTTGATTTTAAATTTCTTTTTATAGTAAAAAAATTTGTTGGAAAAGCTTGCATATTTTTTATTTTTTTTAACTAGAACATAAAATTATCTAACCCACAACTAGGGGAGGATCAAATAGCTACTGCAGGTCTAACTCCTGTAAAATTGCCTTTGCAATCTGCAAGAATTATATACCGGTAAAAACAATGGGATGAGTTCAACATGCATGATGATTACATCAGATACTGCAATGCTGCAACTAGAATGAATACAAGGTACGTTCAATGGAAGAGCAACTACGCTGCATTTGAGACTACACAATCTCGAGTTCTCAGCGCTTGAGCTTTTATGCACCACTACAATAACAGGTCTCCAAGTTTCTGTCCTATTGGGTGATCTGACCTTTAGAATCAGCTATGGCACGCTGTATCTCTGATCTCGTCAGGTATCAACTTCGACTAGCTGTCAGGATCGTGATCAGATGGCCAAGAACTGCTGTGACAAGACCAAGCAAACCGCCAGCAATAACCTATCATAAAAAAGAAAAAAAGGATTATCAGACATTGGTACATGGACAGCTTCCTGAGATCTACGTTTATTGGAAATAGAAAATGTAACCTGCAACTCACTACTATTCATAGACAGGGAAGGGTAAGGCCCCAAAGCTGGGAAATAATTCTGATGGACGGGTGTTTATTCCCGAAGTTAGAAATCACAGGGAAAAGAGGCAATTCCATTCTTTACAATTTCACCATTTAAATTCTCGAAAGCTAAAACTTTCACTTGTAATCACTAGGATCGCAGACATTTACAAGATGATGGTTGTTGGAATCAATGCTATGAATACAATTAACGCTTATTATGATGTAACGGCACCATCCACTCTATGCAGTACCAAAAATTGATTGCTAGGAGCTGCGTAAATAAATCATAAATACATCAAAGGAATCCGATAGGTGATCACAAGGGATTTGTCTAATGCAATCATACAGACCTGAGGCGGGGTGTGCCCAAGAAGTTCACGCAGCGGTCTGCTCTCAGAAAGAGGATGTTCAGCAGGGAGTTCATACAGGATTTGATTCAGGACCTGAAGAAAAGAAATCCTGTTTGAATACATGAAACAAGGAAACGAAGAGCCGGCATTTCAAATGTGAAAAATGGATAGAGAAGCATCAGACCTCTGCTTGGCGTCCAGCCTGTAGTCTTACACCTGTTGCATCATACATCACCTGCCACCAAAATCCTTGTACATTATAGGCAAGTATTCATCCAAGATGAGTAAAACCATAAAGAGGGATGCGGGAAAAAAATCATACAACGCATGCTAATATCAATGCAATCGAAAACAACGATCCTCCGAAGCCCTCTTGGAATCCAACGGCCATGGCAAGAGCAGCAACTGTAGCAGAATGTGAGGATGGCATTCCACCAGATCCAACTAGTTGCTTAAGATCCCATCGTCTTTCCTTATACCTGCAAATCTAGGTATGCTTAAGGCTCTTAGGGGGAACTAATCAACGTGAATGCATTTGCAATGCTTTCTCTATACAAAGCATTCCACAATTTTCGTAATTTATCACTTTCCCTCGATTGAATTTCGCAATCAAAGACTACCAAATAACACGATTCCTAGAATGCCAATTTGGGCTATATATATATATATATTCCGTTAAAAGAAGTTTGATTCTCTCTCCCAAACATTTATTTATTTTGATTTTTAGAGAAAAATGGACAGGGAAAAAAAAGATGGTGTAATCGGCACTCCAAGTCAAAGACTTTAGCTGAGAGAATCGAAACTCATTACAAGATTATCGAAAACAAGCGCGTACGCAAGTACGTACCAGGAAGTGAAAAACTTAATAGATTGGGCAATAGCGAAGGCAAGAAAAGCAGAGATCAGTGGATAATTCGTCAATATTGAATCCGACGACGATAAAGAAGCCCCCGAGTTTTGGATCGTGGTCGTCGACGACCCAGTAGCCATCTCAACCATCCTCCTTGAATCGGTCTATCTCTCTCTCTCTCTCTCTCTCTCTTTATTTTTCAGAAAGGAAATTAGAAGACGAGTCTGGTTTCTCGGAAGGAGAGAAGAGAGTTAGTTTGTTTTCTTGTTAAGACAGAGCATAACCTCTTAGAAGAAACAAGGGCAGTTTTGCTTTGCTGCTTCCTTTCTTATGCGATCAACTAACGGTCTTTGTTTTTTTTTTTTTCATTCTTCTTTCTCTCTCCTGACTTAACTGAATATGCTTCTCTCTCCTTCAAGTGGTGTCTCGAATATACCCTCGGAAGCATAACCTGCATTTATATACCCTCCTCCTCCTCCTCCTCCTTTTTATTTACTATTTTTTTTTCTTTTTGTTGCTTTGACTTTTAGAATTTTCTTTGGTGTTTTTTATTTATTTGCAATCATCTTTACGCCATGGAGATTGATGGAAATTATTTTTATTTTTAAAATTAAAATTAATTTTTAAAAGATAAAAAAAATATGATTTTAATAAGATTTAAAAAAAATACTTCAAAAAATAACTATACAACCTCAATCATTATCGAAATTCAAGATAAATAATAATAATAATAATTAATGCAAAATAATTTCGCCATTAAGATTAAAATGTCAACTGAGTTATTGTTAATTGACATTATCAATGTAATTTGAAATAGAATAGTATATCCTCTCGCCATAACTTGGGCATTTACAGAAAATGGAAACATCTTTCGTATTTTTCAACAAGGGCTGCTGAGTCTCCTTGGGAGGCAAATTCTTCTTCGGGCACCAAAACATACCGTACCCAGCTTTCCTGATTATTATTATTATTATTTTATTTTTAATATAGACTAATACATTGACTAATTTTTTAAGGTTTTAAATTTAATAAATAGATAAATTTTTAATAATTCTAAAATTTATAACATTCAAATTAATAATTTTTCATGAGTAAAACTCAGAACTCATTCATTAAACTATGCCTACCTATCATGGTTATTACTATTGAAGGTTGTGCCCTGACCACTAAAAACTGTTGTTGTTATTATTATTGAAGACAGTGCCCGTGATTTTGCACTCCGAAGTCCTATCCATTGGAGGAGAAAAATAAACACAGGATAGAACTGTCCTTGTGGCGTGTTTCAATTACTTGCATCCATTTCAATTTGGCTTGTGGAGCTTGTATCCCCTCACGCCATCCTCTTGCTTGTACGAAACCGCTTGACGAAAGGTTTTGTTGACTGGTAATTAGCTTGATTCATGCTCACGTTCTTCATTAGCTTCTTCAAGCATTGATAATCCGGATCAGCCTGTGCCCTGCAGCCAGAATGTATGAAAATGCATGGAGTGATGATAAAAACACAGGTCCTTCACTTGTTTAGCTAGCACTTAGTACTCCCGAACTAAAAGATAACGTGGTCACGCTCAGCAGTCCCCAATGGAACTCTAGTCTCTAGCCAGTTTCTGTAAAATCCTTTTCCTTTGACAAGCTCCTAGACTCGAACAAGCAGAAAAAATCAGATCGTGTACAATGTTCACTGTTGTCGATAGTAGACTATCCAAACCAGTATTGAGACGTCTATGACAGTATTGATTTACCACCTTTAAATCTTTCTCTCTCATATAATTGATGCACAAAATACCCGCTCCAGTCTGTAATTGAAAAGAATCTGAGTGTGCAGTGCAAGCAGGACAAACAGAAAAAGGTCACCAATCATGTGGGTTGTATAGCTTCATTTATCTGAAATTTCACTCGTTCCTTTAGCTGTTACAAAGATTAAACCCCCTCGATTTGAAACAAACTATTGACCTAGCGAAGCCTCACTAAAATCAGCTTGAGAGATGAAGAAAGCTTACCTATAATAACTCCGTAGTCATTGCAATTTGATTTCTGAAGTCCTGTATTGACGTAGACTGGTTTGAGGATGCATACCTTTTCGTAATCCATAGATCCAGCCAGACCACTATCTATCTGCAAGGAAACAACCAAGCAAACGTATCTCGTTATTGAACAAAAGCTTAGCTTGGCAGAGCAAAATACTCTGAATAACTAAAGATATCTCAACATTTTATACCCTTCAGTCCCCTCCAAAATAGTTCCATGCGACATGAAGCCTGATCCTTAAAGTCTAGAGGGTCTCCTTCCCAACAAAATTAATGAGTTCCACCTTCGCAGCTTCCATGACCACTTGGAAGTCAATCTGCGTATATCTTCCCCTGCAATACGAGATTAGTGAGAAGCACATTTCCCATTGATGAAGAAAGTCAAACAACTGTCAAGTGATTTAAAATAGATTAGATGCTACAGTCTCCAAGTATCATTGCTCATCACTCACATTCTCCTAGAGCTACATGCATTAATCTACTCGCATGACAAGTATGATGGAAGAAAGGAATAAAACTAAAGCTGTGCATGAGTAGTTATCTCTTAAAAATAGAAACTGGCTTCCCCACACACATTTTACTTGTCAAGGACTGGAAACCCTAGAAAACTAACTAATGCATTCCAGTAATTTTGTCAAAAATGTAAAGTAGTTTTAAGATACCAGAAATGAGTTCTAGACCAAGTTGTGGATGGATAGGCTGGGCTAGCAATGCCATGCATTATTCTTGCAATTGCTCGGGGGGTAAATTTGGCCTGTGAATTGCCCTGCAGAAACACCTGTTTGCCAAGAAATGTGCACATAAACATAAGTTGTTTTGAGATGGAATATTAGTACACCTGTGGTCTGTGCATCCTCACCTTTATATCTGCTCGTAAAAAAGGGCTGCACAAAATAAATAACACTTCAATTGGTAAGTAGTATTACATTTGCAAAAAAAAAAAAAAAAAAAACACAACAAAATTAAGTATATGGACAGGCAGAGAGATAGACATGATTTATTTTTCAAAATCAAGAACTATCTCGCTATTGGTGCTATTGAAGGCAATAAAGATCCAGTCCCACCTGCTTTGTCCCATCTTGTTAGGGATATCACGTCTACCATCATCCTTGAAGTAATCCAAGATCTTTCTTTGCAAACATGGTGTGTGTTGGGCACCATGGCAACCTTGCATCTTCTCGCAATCATTCACAGCAAAGATTGCTGCGTTAAACATTGCATCTAGTTTTTGTACCTGATTTAAGAGATAGACAGTGTTATAAGTAGATAACAAAGAAAAATATAAATACTATAAGAGCATGCAGTATGCGCCAATAGTCTGATTGATTAAAATGGACAACTCTTCAATGATTCAACAGCTATATTGCATGATCTCAAAGTTTAACTGACTTAGTGAAAGTAAATTTGCATCTAACAAGTACGAGGATTTGTATAAAGTCATCTCTTACATTGGAATATGTTGCTACTGAGAAACATATTAATGACAGACAACATAAAAAACTCAATTACCTTAAAACATTCGACCTCCAATAACCATTTTGTAAGATGCCTTGAGAGAGAACAAAAATCCCTTGGGACTTCCACGATTGAATAACAATAGGCAGGATCCTTGACCTCATATGTTATTTCTCCCTTCAACTGGTATGGTTTAACAGTCAAGAAAAAAAAGGGAAAGTTTAACAGTGCAAACCACAGTTCTGAACCAAGGAAAACATCTATAATCTTAAATGTAGACTAATTCTGCACGTAATGAGCATTCCAATCTCTTCACACGGACTTAAAGAAACAACTCAGAAAATGTTCCAGGTAGGATGGCAATGTTGTCATTCAAATTGAAAGAACGATATTCATACATTCAAAACAAGCTGCAAGGAAACAAAACATGATTCCAATCACAAAAGCCAGCATATAGTTTTGTGGCTGAATTTCAGGTTAATTACAGCTCTGTTTGAAATTGCAATGCTACGGTTGCTATTATGACATTTAATCATTGTAATTCATACTTCGCAACTATATTCAAGAACCAAAATATCTATTGCGGGTATCACCAATGTCCTAGGTGTCTTGAATTAGTGAAAGTACAGAAGTTAATATGTGATCCACAAATATTAGGTCTTTGTATTTCAATAGAGAACCTTGGTCACTTTGCTCTGGAAAAACCTTGATATTAGCATAACATGTTCTCTTTCACTTTCTTTTTTTTCTTTTTCTTTTTTTGTATTTATTTTCTGATGTTTAAAGCATGCAGTTAACTTAAAGATGATAAAACGAAGGTTCTATTCCAGGAAATCACTATAAAGAAGTAATAGAAATATGATTTGACTTCGTGTTCAACACCTTTAAATTCTGTAGATGATTTGATAGCTCTGTAGTTGTAACCCCGATGCTATTTGCCACGGTAGGTATGTCAAATACATATTGACCTTGCTTAGTATCAGACCTGAAACATCATGAACCATAACTCAGCACAAAGAATGACCTAATTGAAAGTGACAGTCAGAAATTAAGAGAAAGTTTATACTCACTTTTTAAGAATTGCAGAAACCACATTATCCTTGTCAGCAAGCAACATTGGAGAAGTCTGCATTTACACATTTCTAGCATCAGTAGATGTAATGAGAATGCTATGAGATGGTAAACAGATGTTTGCACAGCATCTTGAAATTTTCTTCTACTTCAAACAAAGTTCTAGCAAACTATTTGAGGTTCAAGCTTAATCAATCCGATAGATAGTGGATTCATTCGGCTTGTATTCTTTCTCAAAGCTGAAAATGGTAGTGTTGAGGGCTTTGGTTAATACATTTTCAATCACCCCCGCCCCCCGAGCACAACCCATCAAGCCACTATAACACTCAAAAAAGGCAATAGAGAGGGGAGGATACATGGAATTTAAGTTGCACTGCTAACCAACCTTGTAGAAATTCAAAGTGCAAGTAACATGTAGCTGTGGAAGTAGATGAATGTATTGCACTTCACCCAACTCCAACTGTGTTAAGAGTGTGAGCATAACCTGTCAAAGTCAGAGCAACAATACAGCACTTCAGGAAACAAAATATACCAGATGAAATTCAGCAAGAGTGTGTGTGTGACTTCCTCCTGTTCGTGGTTTTGTGGCATTGAGAAAAGGTAGTGTTTATCATATAGCATTGTGCATAAAATTTAACAAGTGATCCTGATAATTCAGCCAAAGCAATGATTCGAACATGCCAGGAGCCTCAGACTGAAAATGTAGAAAATTAATGCAGCATTAGTAAATAGGCAGAACCTCTTCTTTCATATCAAATTTGCGAGATGAAGATTCTTTGATCATTGCATGGATTTTCCCCTGGTGCTGCATGTCAGTGGAAAATATTTCACAAAGGAACTTGTTTACTGCATATTCATCTACTCCTTCACTGAAAACACAAGGTCACAGGTCAAGTCCAGATCTTGCACTTATAAAATAAAAGCAACAGAATATACAGTTTATATGTGACCACCTGTGCATAAGACTTCGAAGCTTGAAATAGGTGGTATCATCAAAAAAGAGATGGCAATGGGACAATCTCCCATCTCGTCCAGCGCGTCCAATCTCCTATAAAAGTATAAAATTTATTTCATCGAGTAAAATGTAACATAAGGAACAACTGTTCTAGCAACCAGTGTTGGAACCACCTGAACATACTCCTCCAAGCTTTCTGGCATACTATAATGAATTACCTGAAACAAATGCAATAAAAAAATTCACAACCTTTTCTATTATTATATGCCAAAGGAGATGTGTGTGTGCGGTGATTGAAAATGTAGGTCCACCAAGAGCACCCAAACTTAAGTACAGAGTGATGTCAACAAAATATCTATAACTATGGTATCGGTAAAACTTCCATAGGAGGTCAATTACTGCTAGCTGTGGCCAAAGCAAATGCAAGGATGGAAAAAGTCTTTGATACCATGTCACAAACTAGACGGCACATCCCCATTAGTGAAAACAGTTCCTTCTGTAAATCAAAAAACATCTTGTTTTCCTATGAAATCAGATTTTTGTATGAAGGAACAAGTCTAGAGCAAAAACCAAAGTGCTTCCCTATATGCCCATCATGATTCATATGTTACTATTATTGGCAAATCAGCTTCATGGGTTGCTTCATAAATGCATCAATACTAGAAAAGGTAACACGAATGCGGGGAACACACAAATTAGAGTTCAAGTTTTTTTTTTTTCTTACAGCTCCAACATCCCTCTTGTCAAGACCCATGCCAAAAGCCACAGTCGCAACAACCTTCAAGTATAAATGCAAGTCAGTAATCATGAAAATGACATGTACCATCAACCTGCCTATCAATCTATACACACATACATATATATATATATATAGCAAGACAGAGAGGGATAGAGTGATTTTTATTACCACTCTAATCTTGTTTGAACAAAACAGTTCTTGTATACGGCTGCGATCTTTTGAAGTGATAGAGCTATGGTAACTCTAAGTAGCCATTCAAAACCATCTTGTCAGACTTAATAGTTATCATCAAAGGCACAGTAACTTGAAGAAATCTATGTGATGCACAGCAGGCAAATAGAATACTAACCTTTGCTGAGATGTTGTTATCGCATAAGTATCTGCTTATTATATCAGTTTCAGACTGCAAATCAATAGCCAATTATTAATCTTGTGAGTTATAACAGGGAGTTTTTAACACTGTATACCCAATGTAATGGAAAATAAACAAACACGTAGACACACATAAATGGAGAAAGTGAGTGAAATTGTATTAACTGATTACAGAAACAACTCTATGCTCACAACAATTTCAACTATATTTTATTCCTTTCACAGCAATGACTTCGGTGCATAGTAAGCTGATCAGGAAATTCTAAAGAACTAGGGGAAGATCTCATCCACAAGTCAACAGCAGTGTAACAATGCATTTAAGCTGTCAAATTTTTTATCTTAACAAAGTATTAGAATGGAAACATAAAAAGTCAGAAATGCATATGGCTCATTACCTGAAATTTGCAGTATATAATGATGCTTTGAAGTTCTACGAAGGGAGGAGACTTGATTAATGTCAGCAAATCTTTCGTTCTGTTAAATTCAAGGTAATGGTGATAGGTTAGCTTTAAGAAATTGACTTAAATTCAAAAAAATATAGAATAACCAAAAGGAAAAAAGGTCATTTGCACTTGCCTATTTCCACTCAAAGATACTGACAATTGCATATTATCCCTCAACTTGGCATTTTGAATGAGGTTGGTGGAAGGAATCTCTAGAGCAGACATGATAGCATTCAAAGTTGTTGTAGTAGCAGTTGCAGTCATTGCAAGAATGCATCCAATATTGAGCCTGGTGCAAAGTAAAGATGCACGGAGCCTCATATATGAAGGCCGGAAGTTGTGTGACCTGTTGACAAAATGCAACTTGCAGGGTCAGCGTAGTGCATAAGAGAAACCCAAAGAAAAAAGAGGTAACATCCCAACTCACCATTCGGAAATACAGTGAGCTTCATCTACCACAAGAAGTGAAATGGGAATAGGTGAGAGAATCGACAAGAATTCCGCATTTAAGAACCTCTCTGGTGAAACAAAAAGTACCTGATATATAACCAAAGAACCACAGCCGTAGCAATAATGCAAGAGGTAAGAAACACTGAAACATGGACCCAAATGCAAATCAAAATTAACCAGAGAAGCGAAATTCAAAAATAACACGAGCATAACCAGCCAAAAAGAATACATAAAGGCCAAAATATCAGTTGGTATTTAATAGCCCAACACTCAGATCGCAAAAACCTAAAAGGAAAAAAAAGGAAAAAGAAATCAAAAACCGCATCCAAGGCTTTCACTGAACTCACCTTTATGCCCCCTTCTTGCAGCAACCTGAGTGTCTCACTAACTTCTTGGGGTGTCTAGAGCAATTGACAAAACAATTTACATTAAACAACACAGTAAAAGTTATACAAGTAACAAGAACAAAAACAGAAGAGAGCACGGAAAGTACCTGACTGCTGCACAAAAGGGCACCTTGAATCACAGGAGGCAGCTGTTTCAACTGGTCGATCATCAATGCCACTAAAGGGCTTACCACAAGTGTAACTCCTGAGAAAACCATTGCTGGTATCTGATAACACAGTGATTTACCAGCACCAGTGGGCAAAACAAGCATAGTCGATTTTCCATCTAGCACCATCTTGATTGCCTCCAGCTGCCCTTCTCTAAATGAATCATATCCATACATCACGTTCAGCAACCTCGCTAAATTCTCATCCGATGCCTCATTTTGCACCTCCAAAACGGCCTCATCAATTAACTCACACCCCTTCTTCGGCTTCTGTTGCCCAATTTCCGTGACCAAACCTTCTTCGTCGCACACGCTCTCCATCTCCACGTCACCTTCACCTTTCGATTTTCGCTTACTTCTCCTATAAAATCCCCTGCTGCTCGACGCATAACTGCTTTTCTTTTTCCCTTTTCGGTTCACAAACTTCCTTCTACCGTGATTCAAATTTAGCTTCACAAAATTACCTTCACTGCCACTGCATTTACGCAATTTCGCAGGTGGTAAAGGCGCATTAGCTCCTATTAAATTAGGATGCTTCTTAATGAAATTATTCGGTTTGTTTTCCGGTGGAGCCCGATCAGCGGAAACCGGCGGGCAAGTAAAGCTTTCCGACGGCTCGAAGTTTAGGGAAGGCCTTTGGATTTTGGAAAAGAATGTAGATTTTGAGAAGTAGCCAGCGGGGAGGGTTTCGATCAGATTTGGACGGTGAAGATTGGAGGAGCAACGGATCTGGAAAGGTAAAGTCGAGAGAGGGGGGAGGTTGAGTGAAGTGTCGTCTAGAGAAGGTTGTGGAGGCGGTTCGGCTGGTTCAGATGGTGGTTTTCTTTGAGATTTTGAGCTGGAGGAGGAGGATTTTAGCCTAATTTTGGATTTGCGAGAGGAGAGTAGAGTTGGTCGCCGCGTCGGCGGCGGCGGCATGGGGTTTCTGGGAGGAGTAGAAGAGATGTGGGAGCCGTCGGAGTCTGAATCGGATTCCATTTGGTAAGGAGTGAGAAGTCGGGTTTTGGAGGGATTATTGAAATAGAAATAGAAACGAGACTGCTTTATTCATTTGCTGATTTTCCCGCCAAAACTGTTGCGCTTTTATTTAATCTCTTGTAAAATGTCCGAAAATATTTTTATTACCACTGTGCCATTACTATACATTAAAATCTCGATCGCAACGACTTGAACACGGTATGTCAGTCTAACCGAAACAATTAGAATTTAAATCGATCTTTTCCACGTGATTAAATTGTATGTTGAAAAAGTGTTTTTTTGTAAAACATTAAATTTTTTTACTTTAAATTATTTTGATGCAAATTATTCCTGCATGGTAATATTTTTTTTATAAATATTATAGCATTTTTTCATGTACAGTATTTTAGCCATTCAAAAACTATATTTCGTGATGTACAAAACTCATCTTATGTTATGCTATATTAAAAACCAATAAAACATAAATTATTCCATGTATACTTGTTTTTGAATATTCTATTTTATATAATCTTGTTTGCTTGCTTGTAGATTTCATCCTCATAATCTTGTTTAAAGTAAAGTGATTATATTCAGATTATAGTAATCTTGTTTGAATCGATTATAAAATTTATTTAAATTAATTTTTAAATTGTTAAACATGCAGCATTTAAAAGAATATATTTGATAATAGATTTGATGTAAGATAGTAATATGGTATAATTATAAATAAGAAAAATTCAATTTAATTATTGTAAAAAATAAATAAGTTAATTAAATCTCAGTTTTATTAACTAGATTACTAGTTTGCGTCATGTTAAGGTCAAGTCAATTTTATTTATTTGTTAACATGAAGAAAAAAATACAAGTGTTTTTTCTAGTACTTTTTTTATATATAAAAACCATATATGAATTAACTATGTGATCCAAACAATTTTAATAATTTTAAAATAATCTAAATGACCAGTAAATATAAGTTGATTCAAAATAAATATCAAATAGATTTTTTTACACTTTTGATGAATTCAGATTAACTTATTAGTTCACATGTTAGGTCATAAAACTATAATAATCTCGTTTAAAACAAATACAAACATGTCACGAAACTCAATTTCTAATTAACAAGCATTGAAGGATACAATTTGAACAATAAATATAATTAAAAAAATAATATATATTAACCTATTAAACCTATATTCAAGTAATGAGATCGGGTAACCCAGTAAAAAATAAATTACAATAAATTATAAATTACAATTTACAATTAACATAATATTGATATATGAAGTTAGAAAACATCAAATTAAAAAGGACATGTAAAAAACAACTCGGGTTAACCTATTGAACTTTTGACTTGGGTCATGAAATAAAGAATACCCCGTAAAAAATAAACTCGAACAAATCACGAAATCTAACTCTCAACTAACCCAATATCAAATAATAAATTTTTTTAAAAATGAGAAAAGAGAAAAAAAATTCGAGCCAACTAGGTTAATTTATCATATTTGTAATTTAAATCATGAGACCAGAACAATCTAGTAAAAATAATTAAAAAAATATATAAATCTCAATTTAATAAACATAAAGTTGAAAGATAGAATTTTTTTTTTTTAAAATAAAGGAACAATAAATATTGTTTTATAATGAATTGTAAAATAAAATATTTTAAGAGCATGTTATTCATGACCACATACTGTAAAATCTCCATAATTTAAAAGCAAAACCATAATTTACAAAATTCAAGAACCACACCAAAAACACCACAAATCAATGAACAAACTAAAATTCATCATTTTTAATTTCACAATCATCACGGGACAAAGTACATAATTTCAAAATATGTTTAAGAGGCCAGAATACGATTTTAAAAAGTAAAGGGACTAGATTAAGATTTTCACAAATCAGAGACTATATTGAAATTCCATCGTCCTCTACCTGGAGATTTTTTTTTTCCCGGACACGGTGCTAGTTTTCTCCACATAACAAACCTCATAATTTAACAAGATTATATAAAGAAATAAAACCATTACAAAATAAACCAAGAATCATCAGTGATTCATCATGAAGAAAGACCAGTTGCGCCATGGACTGCAACAATGCAATTACATTATTGTTCTCCGTGCACAAGCCATGAAAGCACAAACTAAGGGGAAACATTGTCTTGTCACGAAGCTCATTCAGCATCATCTAATTGATCAAAGTTAAATTGATCATCTCAATTTTTTTTATTACACGGTTAAAAATCTAAATTACCATTTAAAAACATGAAAAAATCACATTCACATATAGTGGTCTTTTTACCTAAAAAACATAGTAAAATGAACAAATTACCTCCAATAACAAGAGCTCCTAAACTTATTGTCATGGTTTTTTTTAATTATATATTTTTATTATTATTGCATGGGTTAAAGGATGATGTGATAATTTATCAAATTAAATATTATTAAAAAAACACCTAACACGAGGGTCAGAGACAGGAAATTCTACAGGGGGGTTAGGACTAGGATTTTTTTAAAGGGGGAAAAACTCAATTTTTTAGAGCTTTGGCTCTAACATTTTAAATTACTGAAGAGGGAGCTAGTAATTTTCCTTTTTTTTGCAAGGGCCTGGACAGACAAATGCAGGCTTCCCCTGGCTTGGGCTTCTTTGACACCCATTTATAGATATGGATTTTAAAGATGGTTAGGTTTAGGGTTTTTTTTTTTTTATATATATTTATATATA